CTCTAACCTCCTCGGCCGCCTGCAGTGGGAGAGTGTCTTTTCGAATTAACATCTCATTTGTAGATCGTGAGGCTCTGGCTTGTACCGCCGCCGCCGCCGCGCGCCCCCAGCACCGGATTGCCTGATGGAGCTTTATCCGATTAAACTGATTACTAATCTAATAAAATGATGGTTGGTTGTGTCTAGTTTACACTGAAGGCCCTCCTCCCCCACGCTGTGTACCGTACCTCCGCGCGAAGGCGCATGCGCACGCAGGCTGGACCCTGCCCTGCACGGCCGGCCAGTACGGGAGGGGACGCCGACGGAACAGGGAGGATGCCGTTGAACATGTTCACGGGGAGGGATATTACCCCGTCAATCTTATGAAATACGGTGCAACTTTGTTTCGGTTTTCGGGATTGGGGAAAGAGGTGGCGTGGAAGTCCACACCCAAAACAGCAGGTACACCGGAAAAACATAAAGGTCCCAACTTCTACCTTTAAAAAGGCACTAAGGGTTTAGTTCCTTTACAGGGGCACTTAAACTGCCGAAGGCACCAATTTATGGCACCTTTTGGGCAATTTAGTGTCCTGTGCGGTCCTGTGTGCCTTTGTGAGGCCCTAAACTGAAAATTCGTTTAGTGCCCCAGGAAAGGCACACGACTGGAGCACCTTTGTTTTGCCAGTGTACTTGAAATCAAGTGCATTTTCTTGAAACCATGTTAATGCCTCGGTGCATGCAGTCGTTTTATCCGAGTGCGTGCTCTTGTTTCAAGGAATTGCACTTTATTTCAAGTATCTCCTTTTTGAGTGTGCGGGCGCTTTTTCACGTCCGACTGTCGACGGGGAAAAGGGGGCGGTACCACGTAAACCGCGCATTGTCTTCCCTTTTGCGACCTTTTAGTAGTCTTCGTAGGGCTGATCGAAGGAAAAAGGAGGGATAGCGGCCCGGAATGAAACCACGCTCGAGCAAGTAGTCACTCGCTATCTCACAGTGGCAATTAACATTTTGTCGAGGGGGTAAAAACTCACGTAATAGTCTGTACACCTGATCCGAGTATTACGCTTGGTAACGCGAGTAAGCGTGTAACTGCGAGTTAAATACTTGCAAGTGTGCAACTCCGTAGTCGTACACTTCCAAGTGTTTAACCCGGTAGGTGTGCACTTGCAAGTGGACAACTCATCGGTTGAACACTTCCTTAGATTGAACGCTCACTGTGTAGGAGGTACTCAACCGAGGAGTTACACACTTTCAAGTGCATACCTACCGAGTTGTACACTTGCAAGTATTCAACTTGCAGTTGCGCACTTGCAAGTATTTAACTTGCAATTGCACACTTAGAAGTGCTGAGCAGTTGAACACTTAGATTATCAGTGAAGCCTGGAAAAAAGGCAATATTCGCTTCAACTGGTAGACTTGTGCGTGAAAAAACCGGCGTAATTGATCGTGATAGTGTTGACACTAAAATTCGGAGTTTTTGCAGCAAAATATGTTATTCATTTACTTAGATAACGGAAAATTCCCAACCATCTCATGCACCCATCACTCGGTGACTCGACCCATACACGGTTCAGCTTCACATGGCTTTGTTATTTACGAATTATTCGGTTGTATTTACAATGAGACATCCCTTGCAGCCAAACTGATCATCCCAATTGGACGGCCCCATTCAAACTGGCTTGGTTCTATTTACATTGGTAAGGTGACAGTTTTAAATTTTCATCGGCGAAACGTAAATGTAATCAGATGCCAAGTGTCAACGGTGAGTTAATAAAGACTTTGACAAGACAGCCGACAGACAGGTACCGGGGGGGGGGGAATTCGAAAACATTGTGCAACACATTGTTATTTGAATGAAACGACGACAACGAAGTTATGGGTAATGACGTCTAAAACAGCAACTTGTCTGAAAAGGGTTGGGCATAAAAAATAAGACGTACTGATAAACACTTCTAAAGTGAGTTGTTGCCCGCTCAAAAGAAATAACCATTTCTTACCTGGGAGGTCATCCCGGCCGTTAGAGGCGCATGACGAGCGCGAGTCCTCCGCGGCGTGGGCATCCGCGGCATTGTCAGGTGACGACGGGGACGTCGGCGGCGACCCGGAGCTCGAGCCCTTCCTGGAGCGGCGCCGCGGCGGGCTGCGGGGCGCCGGGCTGGCCGGGCTGGCGGGGTCCGGGGAGGACACGGTCACCGGGTCCAGCGGCGAGGAGCACCCCGACGACAGGGAGGGCGATGTCGGCGGCGAGGGGATCATCCTGGCGATGAGGGGCGTCGCGCTCAGGTCCTCGGCGAGCGGCTCCCGGATGGCGACGTCCAAGCAGAACCTGGTCGCGGCTGCGGCCGCCGCCGCCACGCCGCCCGGCTCCTGGAAGCTCTTGGACACGAACTGTGTCAGCTGCTCCATCGCGAGGAGCCCCCCATGCGGCCCCCGGCCTAACCTAACCAAGCGCGGCGTGGCGGGGCGTGGCGGGGCGCGGGGCTGCGGAGCCTGCGGCGCCCATGGCATGCGCGCGGGCACTGTGCGGGGCGCCATGGCGCGAGCTGCCCTCCCCCGCCGGACCTGGCGCCAGGCCACGCCCCCCGGCGCCGCGCCCGCACCCCCGCGCCGGCGCACTGCCTCCGCGCCCCGCCACGCCGCGCTCCGCCACCCCAGGCCGCGGTGATGAACACGCGCGTAAATGATGAATGGCGAGAGAGAGAGGAGCGAGAGTGGAGTATTAAAATGAAATCAAGGCCTCCTGCCCAGCTTCCGTTTCCGGTGCTCACACCTCAACGCCCGCAGCGCCCCTGCCGACACTCCTCGCCCCTCGCCCGCCCACTACCCTGCTGCCTGTCAGCGGACCAAGCTGACGTGAGCTGATTCCTGTATCCACCTTGACTGGTCCGACCGATGCGGAACTAGAACCACACACGCTAGGTAGGTAGGGACAGGGAGAATGTTCGACTGTGGAACCCGCTTTACATGCCCACAGACCCCTTCCTGTATTTTGCTGATATTGTACCGGATGCAGGCGTGCGGCCGGGTTGCACATTCGCTCAGGCCGTAAGGCGCAACGACGAGCTAGGGTAGGCGGTAGGCAAGCCCGTCCGCATAAGCAAAATAAAGGAAGGGGTCTGTGGACCTAGACCAACCTGTGTCATAAAACCCTTGTGCATTTTATTGTGCACAACATGCACGTTTTTAAGCAGCCACAAGTAAGAACAATTTTTTGCAGAAATTTTACAAATTGTGCATAACTGTGCACAAATTGACTGCATAGTTATGTCTGAAATTGTGCAGTACCGGGAGAGGGCTCGGACTGCTGTAATCATACGGGAGCGACGCATAGCCAGGGGCACTCTAATACGAATCCCCCTAAAACCCGTGCCAACTAGCCCGCTAAATAGCCAATTCACAATGAAATGCAAGAGTGGGAAAACAGTGAGATATGGCATCGCTCACCAGCAAATCCCACTCTGGCTGCTCCGGCCAGTGTAAAAGTAGAGCCCGCTCGACGAGAAGCCTGCTGAGCAGTGAAAGGCACGGCACCCCGCCCGAACCTGTAGGACTAGGACCCTTCCCCTACCCGCAGATTGCCTACCCGGGCCTCTGGTGCCGTGTCATCGCGATGTCATCCAGCAGTAAACCATGTTTGCCGAACCTTTCTCTCGGCGTTCTCCTAAGTGGAGATAGACGCGAGGGCGACCCGGGACGACCCCGTCCCTATCTCTCTGATCGTGGAGGTCGCTTGTCTCGCCGGGCAGCTCTGGGCGTTGCCGCCCCCCGCCCTGCCACACATGATGCATGCTGTCATAGGCCATGATCCCTCAGGGAGCCGTATAGGCAGGCGGGTCCTTTAGGCCCCCCGGCGGAGGGCGGGAAGTGCCGTGCATCTCGCTGGGACTTCCCCTGCTCCCCCCACCCCTACCCCCTCGCGCCGTGCCGCCGTACGACTCACACATCATCGCCCATCGCCCGCAATCATTCCCGCATCTGTTAAAACGACAATCGGCGGGCCGCGAGGGTGAGGGTGTCGGGG